CATTGGAAGTCTAATCAGTCTATGGTTTGGTTTCTCGATAATCATGTTATCAAATGTGTGCACAGTTTGTGTCAAACATTTGCTCGACTCGTGTACCGTATTCTTCATACAAAGATTTAATTCAATCAAAAATTTTAAGATTTTTAATTTCAAGAAAAGCAGAAAAATTCAAAACTTCTTTATTATAAAAACTGATGACAATATAAATACAAAAATAAATTCTTGTAATAAAATAATCAATATAAGAAATCTACCTGAAATACATATAAATTAAAAGTTATTTTTTAATTAGTTAATGCATTTATGATAATCAATAAAATTCAAATCTTATGTAAAATTAATATTGTATCTCATTTATGTAAATATAAATGCATTAAGTTATATACACTACTGAGTAAATATCAATTTCATTTAAAATTAATTAAGTAATATTAAACTTTTCGTTAAGTAAACTTAATCAACAATATATTTTTGATGTAGTATACAATAAACTAATAATAATTTGGATACTTAACAACAAATAATTTTCTGAAATTATAGTTTGTACTGCTGATATATTTGATGATAAACCATAAAATGATGATATATTTAAAACAATGTTTAAAACTAGAAAAAGTTACAACTACTATATTCTTTACAGTATGTTTAGCCACATGTTTGTATCAAATCATAGCAATTTGCGAAATTTATTTCTCATTTCAAACCATAACTTCACTAACATTTGTAAACGCCTCGAGACTATCATTGCCTGCGATTACTATATGTTTCAAAACTTTTTATCTATTGAGACAAGAATTTCTGGACAAATATCCAAATGATGCAAACAATTACACAAAAATGTTTGCAATTATGGCTAATATGACAATTGCTGAGCAATGGGATGCCATTAAGCCGTGGGAAGAGGTGCTGATGAATAGCTGTTTTGTACAGAAACCTGCTACTTTTAATACAAGTGGTAATACAAATAAAATTAGTTGTCATTTAATAGCACCGATACGTGAATCAATGGACATATATCATCGATGTTATACGTTATTCTCGCAAATGAATGGTCAACCAAATGGTAATTATATTTTGGACAGGAATCAGGTGTATGGAGTGGCCGAAGATAATATGGGGGTTATAAGTTTAGATCCTAAGCTAAATATACCCAACGCTCACATTATTATACATTCAAGGGATGAACAGTTGATATCGTATTTTAAGGGAACTCATATTGAGGTGAACTATATGAAGTATGTGATGAATACAATCACTTATAAGAAACAATCGGTTTATTTATTGCCAAAACCATACCAAACAGACTGTTATGACTACAGAAAGTCGGGACAAATCGATAGAAGCAATTGTATTGAGAATTGTAGACTAAATGAGACCAATTATCATGTCAAGACCTGGCTGTCATTTTATTTGGCTTACAATAGAAATAATGAGACATTTTTCGACTTAAATAAATATCCTCGGACCAATTATAAAAACATCAATAAATCTATAGCCGATAAATGTGGTGCAATATGTCACCAAAACAGTGCTTGTTACTCCGAGTATTTTACATATAATTACAATTCATTTAGATATCCAACTGACCGGTTTCTTTTAATTTTTAAATTCCCGGTAGTGCCTGATATGGAGGTCAGACACTCTCCCAGGTTATCATTTGTTGAGTTTATGTCATTCATTGGAAGTCTAATCAGTCTATGGTTTGGTTTCTCGATAATCATGTTATCAAATGTGTGTAAAGTTTGTGTCAAACATTTGCTCGACTCGTGTACCGTATTCTTCATACAAAGATTCAATTCAACCAAAAATATTAAGATTTTTAATTCAATTATTATAAATAAAAACAGAAAAATCCAAGCGATTTACACCAAAAAGCCTGATACTATCATCAACCCAATAATACAATCTAACAAAATTATCAAAACTACAAATCTGCCTGGAATAATTATAAATTAGTAATTGTAATTTTATTTTTATTTGTTTAATTAGATTTTCCCTACAAATGCATTTATAAGCGAAACAATTATAATTATTTATTGGAAATTTTATCATTTATAAAATTTGTAAAATAAATTTAGTGGATATCGATTAATAAAATTCATTTAATATTATGGATACAGGGATTGGTTTCAGTGAACTATCGTTTGAATACATTCATTGAAAGTCTCATTGGTTTGTGGTTTGGTTTCTCTGTAATAATGCTATCAAATGTTTGCTCTGTTTTTGTCAAATATCTAATCGATTAATGTTTTCTATATTTCATAAACAAATTATTTATATTTAAAAATAATAGAAAAATAATATATAATATAAACGCCAAAATAAATGTACATAATTCAAGTTTACAATTACAGTAGATAAAACAAATGATTTGAAATTTAATGATAACATTAGTTTAAAAAGTATTGATCAGACAAATAATACTCTGTCTAAAAATATATAATTATATTAATGTTATGTTTTTATAATAAAATAAATTAGTTTTATATCACAAGATTTCATTTTAGTTATTTCGTGCCTAAATAAATCAATATTAAGTTAATAGTAAATTTACTTTACCTGGCGCAAAATAAACCAATTTTATTCTGTATTGTATTGTTTAAATAAACAAATTTTATAAATTAAATTTTATTGGTTTACCAAAATTTTCCTATGAAAAGAATAATTAATAATAAAATGTTTCATAAATCAAACAAAAATATCTTTTTATAACAAAACACTTTAACCTTTGTTTCTAAGACCTAATGAATATTCATATCCAATATGAAAATCAATATAATATCTGAAAATACATTTCGTATAATTTTCTTTGTGTTTTGTCTGACATTATGTTTGTATCAAATCATACAAATTAGTCAAATATACTTTGCTTACGAAACAATAACTTCTGTTAATTATGTTAACATTTCAAAAATATCATTACCGGCTATTACTATATGTGTATCGAAGGTCTATATTTTGAAACCTGAATTTAAAGCTAAATATCCACTCAATGGCTCAACACCTGAAATGTCAATACAGTTGAATAGTATGGCAACAGTTGAACAACAATTTAATATGATCTATGATTTCGATCATATTTTTGGTAATTCTTGTCGTGTATTAAAACCTGATTTTTTCAATGATTCCGAGGCTATGATTGATTGCCGAAGAATAGCACCAATTCGTCAATCATTGGATTTCTTTCACTCGTGTTATACACTATTCTCGCAATTGGATGGACAACCAGATGAGAGGTATGTCGTCGACAAAGATCTCGTCAATAATGTCGAGCAATGGTTCCTAATGTATACATATATGAACACTAATGATACAAAATTTAACCTGATGATCCACTCAAGACAAGAGGTTATTTTAAATTATTTTAAAACACAACATAAAGAGTTGGATTTCCGACACGATTTTATACCAATGGTTTCATACCATAAAACTAGTGCTAAATTATTACCCAAACCGTACGAAACTAAATGTTTAGATTATAAAACAGATAAATATTCATCAAGACAAACGTGTTTTGACATTTGTAAAATTCAGATATTGGAACAGGATTACAATGGGCAGTTACCAGGCAGTTATCTTACGTATGAGTCAATGGATAAATATTTCCTTGATGTCTTTAAACTAGCTAATAATAATTCAAATGTCGAATATGCTCGACGTGCAAATGAAATTGGCAAAATATGCAGGAAATTGTGCCATAAGTATATTGATTGTCATTCTGAGTATTACACATTTGATTGGTATGAATTGAGGGTCCCTGATCAGGGTAAAGCATTTACTCTAAACTGTCCTGAATCCTCAGTGGTTTTGTTGAGACACTCACCCAAAATGGGTTTTGAAGAGTTTGTCTCATTTACGGCGAGTATTATTAGTCTATGGTTTGGCTTCTCATTCATTATGCTATCAAATGTATTGACAGCTTTTGGCAAATGTATTATTCGCTCGTTTTCTCAGTATATTATAAACAAAAATGTATTTAATATTACTTTTAATTATAGAAAGACATTTAAAAAAGTAAATAAAGTAAACAATACAACACTTGGTATGATTAAAATCAATACACGATAAATAAATGTCTAGAATCTAGACTATTAATATATTGTAGATACAGATTACAAATGGATATTAAATTTGTTTTGTTTCGTATTATGCTATTATTTGTACAGTACTATTTAAATATTCATTATAATAAATTGTTATAAAATATTTTATAATAAAAATCTAAAGTACGGGTAGCATTATTGTTTTTAATAAATTCAAAATATAACACTTAACAAAAATCTAAATTTATGTAATATTGTTTTAAGTTATATTCAAGACCATTTTCATTAAAATATATGGAATAATAAATCAGAATATATTGATCAAATGAAAACAAAAACGATATTTTATTATTTATTTTTAATAAAATGCTAATACTGTACATAATGTAGTGGTATAATAGCATGAATAGCAAATATAAAACATTTTTTGTCGTTTGTGAGACTAAAATAAAATATTTCGTTTCTGGTGCAATAATTAATTAAAATAAAATTTATATAATACAAAACAACCTAATAATAACATTAATATGTATAATAATAATCAATAGTATTAGTATATATAATAAGAAGTTAAAAAATTCATGAACTAATTATATAAATAGTTAAGTTAATATTGATCATTATAACAAAAATCCAGACATTGTCTCAACAATTATCAAAATGAATAGATATTTTGATTTTAAAAGAAATGTCAGTTTCGAGAAACTAATTCGTATGATATTCTTCGGCATTTGTCTCATCACATGTTTGTATGAAGTGATCATAATTTGTGACAACTATTTCTCGTATAAAACGGTCACTTCTGTCCGTTATGTCAATATGACTGAGATATCATTGCCGGCGATCACAATATGTGTGGAGAAAAGGTTTATAACAAGAAATCACACAAATAATCGTGTGTTTAATGAATGGGAATTCTATGAAAAGTTTGCCACAATGACCGTAAATGCCCAGAAAATGGCCTTATTTTCGGACAATGAGGTCTTCAATCAAAGTTGTCGAGTGTTGACACCCATTGGACTCAAGTCAAGCAAATCTGTGGTCAATTGCGATCTCATAGCACCAGTACGTCAAATGTATGACTACTATCACTCGTGCTTCACGTTTTTCTCGCAATATAATGAAGAATCGGATGATAGGTATATCGTGGACAAGAATAAGGTACTAATGGCCACCATGTCATCCCTATTCTACATTGAAATTAACCCAAATATACCACAAATTCATTTAATTCTTCACCCGAGGGATGAAGTGGTTCACAGTTTTTTCAAGAAAAGTCCGCTTGAATTGAATAAAATGCAAAACAAAATAATAACCGTTGAATACACGAAAACAGTGACAGAATTATTGCCCAAACCTTATGAGACAAACTGTTTGATGAATAATAAGTCTAATATAAGAAACAGTTGTATTGAGTTGTGCCGTATACGAGAGCTGAGAAAAATGTGCAAGAGCTGGCCAGGTACCTATTTGGCCGACCCCTTAACCATGCCAAATGAGCATATTGTCAATTTGCATAAACTTCTGGGCACCAACACCACAGTGGATGTCATTATTAGTGAGATATGTCTTAAAGAGTGTAATCTGTGTGTTGAATGTCAGTCCCAATACTTGACTTATGAGGTGAATAGGTTCACAAACGAGACCCAAGTGTTTATGATTGCAGTACTTCCGCCCAAACTACCGGTCCTACTGATCAGACACTTACCGAAAATCTATTTCGAAGAGTTTGTCTCATTTATTGGAAGTCTCGTCAGTCTATGGTTTGGTTTCTCGATAATCATGTTATCAAATGTGTGCACAGTTTGTGTCAAATATATGTTTGGTAGATGTTCGCTATATTTTGTCAGAAAATTATTAGTTATTTATAATAACAATAAGATTATTACTCAAAATACTTCATTCAAGTTGTTTGTTATAAGTAAAAAATCACTCAAATTTATGAACAACAGAGTTCAACCAAAAAATTAATTGTATTATAAGTTTTATTTTAATCTAGAGTCTAGACTTTTATTATATCAATGTCAAGGTTGTCATTAATAAAGTACCAGAATATTTAAATCTAATACTTAATTTTAAATAATTCTGTAAATACTTTAAAAATCAGAAGTTTCACAATAATGTACATTATAAATAATAATAATAGCATTAAATGATTTAATATTGATTAAATGATTAATTCTTTATTATAATACAAGTCTCTGTATAATTTTTAAATCAACAAGTTAATTATTCAAGAACATAAAATAAAATTTGCTATAAACAAATACACAGGTACTGTGATATATTGAAAGGCAAAATAATATTTATGTTATTTTCTGGTATTAATAAATATATTTGAATATTATATATATTTTCGGTTAATATAGTCATTGAATTAATTCACCGTTAAATATAATGTGACAAAATATTTGAATGCCATATAAATAGCAAAATTATACCAAAACTGGTACACTTGATATTTCTTATATGATACTTAGTAAGAGTTTATATTTTATGGATTTAAACATCCATATATAAACAAGTTAAAAATGATTGAAATAGCGCTTAACTTCAGGATATTTAAGAAATATATTTTCCAAAATCCTACTCGTGTTGTACTATACACAGTATGTTTTGTATTATGTTTATGTCATATGATACAGATTTGTGACAATTATTTCTCGTACAAAACGGTCACAACTGTCCGATATATTAGCATAACTGAGATCTCTTTGCCGGCGTTCACCGTATGTATTGAAAAGCGTTTTATAATAAAAAGTCAATATTTCGTTGACTCTAATATCAAAGCAAATCTAACCGATGAAAGCATTCGCTATTTCTCGACAAACCTCACGATTGGACAGCAAATGAGTTACTTATTGACGGCTGAAGAGATATTCATGAATAATAGCTGTCAGGTGTTGAGACCCAAGAGCTACAACTCATCGGAAAATACGGTTGACTGCCAATCAATAGCACCGATACGTCAACACATAGACTACTACCAGTCCTGTTTGACATTCTTCTCGCAAAACACGTCCCACTCCTCCGACGAGGCATTCATAGTGGACAGGGATATGGTATTACAGGACACGATGTACTCGTTGGTGAACATTGAGATTCATGAGAGTATACCCCGAATACAACTGATAATTCATCCGCGAAATGAAGTAATTGTGAACTTCTTTAAGGAGAATGCGTTGGAATTAAACAGAGAGAAGGACTTCATAACGACTGTCGAGTACTACAAGTCTATCGTCCAGTTGTTACCCAAACCTTATGAGACGGGATGTGAGGACAAGACTATTAAATGCGATTGTATTGAGAGGTGCAGAATACAGGGCTTTAAGCAGACGTTTAACAGATGGCCGGGTAGTTATCTGACTAACCCTAATGGGATGAATATATGGTTGACTTGTTTGAAATGTTGGCAAAGAATAGGTCTCTGGATCAGGAGGTGGGAGAGATGTGTAGACAAGAGTGTCGGTCCCCTATTGAGTGTAATTCAGAGTACATTAAGTTTGGGACAAACAAGTACTTTAACGAAACCAAGAGGTTTATAGTGTCTATATTTCCACCGAGAATACCGGCCCTACTCAGCAAACACGCGCCTAAAATGAATTTTCATGAGTTTCTGATATTCATCGGAAGTTTAATTAGTCTTTGGTTTGGATTCTCAGTGGTTATGATATCAAATGTCTGCACAGTTATCGTCAATAAAATTTCAAAGTTTGCGATACAAAAGCTGTTTGTAATAAAATGCAAGTATCAATTGAAAGCTAATTCAGTGGCACTCAATGTTAATTCAAACCATTTGACAAATGAATACAATTGTAATAATAAGAAAAAGTCATTTCTAATGTCAGGCATATGTGTTGGCTAAACACAATGATTATTAATCATTGATTAATTAAATAATGTTATTGAATATCATTATCAACTTATATTGTTAAACTCATGGCATAATTATCATTTAAATATTGAATTAAAACCGTTAAAAATAATGCAAATTAATACACATTTAAACAAAGTTTATCATCAAATGGCAGAACAGAAACATGAAGTGATTCTTCATGTCTACGATTTGTCACGAATTAACGAATGGATAAATCTATTGTCACAAGACATGGGTGTCTATCACACGGGTACTGAAGTCTATGGTAAAGAATATTCATTCGGCGGACATCCCTATGATTTGAGCGGAATATTCATAACGACTCCGAAAGATATGGAATCCCTGAGTGTTAATAATGTTTTCAAATACAAAGAGTCAAAAGCTATCGGATATACAGAACTGAGCGAAGAGAAGGTGCAACAAATTGTCACTGAAATGGGTCGCAAAGATTTCAAGGGAAAGGACTATAATCTCATTCAAAAGAATTGTAACCACTTTTCCGATGAGTTTTGTAAGAGACTGTGCGGTAAAGGCATTCCCAAAGAGATCAACACTTTGGTCGATACTATAGCTCAGTATCCATGGATTGAGAGACAAATACCGGTCGAGTATATGACTCCACAGGCCCTCGAGAATGACATCAAACAGGAAAGGGAGAGAGACTTACAAAAACAAGACAAACAAGAGTCTACCGATTCTGTCAGTGATTCAAAAGAGTAAAGAAATCAGAAATTATATTAATTAAGGATATTATATAATTGTATTATATCTGTGTATGAGTAAAAATAACTTTTGAATAAAAATTCATTTGCTTTGAAAATTAATACTTAATTAGAGACCTTTATGTAATAAAAAAACTTAAAAGACATTATTTGTAAACCCATTGACAACACTATCTCTTTATGTGTCCCTTATGTCCAAACGATACGATAAATCACAATATTTTTCAAGTGATAAGCCGTCTCTTGTCTTACAGTGTCTCTGAAATTCAAATTTTTAAACACAAAACTCGAAGAAAAATAGAGTCAAAGAAATAGTGTATAAAAAACTTAAGGAAATTGTTTTTTGTCTCTCTTTTTCTTTTTACACTACAATATATAGACATCACTCAGTCTTTTATAATATATATTCTTGAGTTTACTTTACATTTTATATTCAGTCTCAAACTAATCTCTTATTATTTCTGTCTTTAAAAATGTAATTTTTTGACATTTTGTGCGATATTTTTTGGGAGCATAAAATACACGTAAAACTTTCATTTTTATTACTACTTTTTGGCACTATATTTGTGTAACAATTTATGTTAATAACAATCATATAATAAGAGTGAAGTATGAATAGAGAAAAAATATTGTCATAGAAATGAATAGAGAAAACCATATGAGGGAAAGGATTACCAGATGTAAGCCTTTCGGTGATAACNTAACAATTTATGTTAATAACAATCATATAATAAGAGTGAAGTATGAATAGAGAAAAAATATTGTCATAGAAATGAATAGAGAAAACCATATGAGGGAAAGGATTACCAGATGTAAGCCTTTCGGTGATAACACAATACATAATACAAGTGACAGTTTTTTGCCATCCGTTACATAAGAATATATCAAAATCGGATGACATATCAGTTTTGGGTATCACTAAAAATAATTACAACAAAAAAGTTTCAATTTTATTTTAAACACCAATTATTGATCAGACTTTGCGACACAAAAATTGCGATAAAATCCGTTTTTATTGACAACTCTATTATTATTCAATCACTTGATTGTAATATTTTTATTTTTTAGATGTCTGTCAGATGTATTAAAGATAACATATTTTATTTTCTCCGTGCTCAATATTTATTATTCAATTTGTTTAATGTTTTTTATTCATTTTTATTCAATAATAAAAGTGAATATTAAATAAATTCATGAATTGTATGACATTTTACGAGTGACTATAAGAGCCATAAAATAGGAAAATAATTAATAAGAAATGAGTACTAAAATATTGAAATACTGTACTAGTAACTTTTAGTACTACTCTGTAAATATACAGTATTATAAAGTGCATATATAGTGTAATGAAGTAGTGAGTGAGTGAGTGAGTGAGTGAGTGAGTGAGTGAGAGAGAGAGAGAGAAATCAATTTGTAAATCGATTTTACGTTTTAATAAAATTAGAGACAAAATCACATTTCATTACAAAAATTGAGTTTTAGTTCATTAGTGAAGAGGTTTTATTTCACGAAAGAGTCACACAAACTATTGTATGATTTGATTTGCATTTCGAGTACTATATTACTTATGCAACAATACTGTGAACAACAAAATGTACTTTATTTTTGGGCAACTTTTATGTAATGGTAGTCAACACGACTAGTAGTAAGTCATATCCAGCAGAGATTGTCTAATATAGGGGACACAGAATCCGAGATCAGAATTAAGTCATCAGAATATATATTACATCATCAAAAGGCTATGAAAAGAATTTTTAGGCTCTTATTCGTGACAAACAATACACTCCAACACAACACATATCTATTGCCGATGATATTGGAGATGCCGGTGCTCTCAATCCCACATCTCTTTGCTCTCAACAGTACTGATATTTATGAAAAACAAGATTTTTGTATTGAATGAACAAAATATCTCCTCTATTATACAATACATTAAAATGAAAAAAAGTTTAGCAAAACGTATGATATATACAGATATAAAAAAGCATAAGTCGTTTGAAGACATAGACATGAAATAAGTGCAAATCTCTCTCTTTATTCGTGTATAAATCCATTGCAAAACTTTGCTTTACATTTGAAATTAAGTCCTAAAAAAGGATTTTATAGACAAATGTTATGAAAACAGAAAAAAGAGCTTTACTTTTCTGGTAAACAATTTGTATTTTTATTTATATTTTATTTCTCGTTTCCTTTTATTTCTCTCTATTTTCAGAATTCATTAAATCTCTCTCTCTCCCTCTCTCTCTCTCTCTCTCTCTCTCTCTCTCTCATGCCTTATAATAAATTTCTTTCACTTTTAGATATGATTTCTAGATTTCTATACAAATATATGGACCGAAACTCCGTGAACTGAATCTTCACTCTATTTGATGAACAAAATTGTTTGACTGAAATAAATATTATATACAGAACTCAAATTGAATTTTCACATGAATTGATTGAAAATTAGTAAAAAACAAAATTTGCTTCAAAATTTATTTCAAAACGAATTGAATAGAATTAAAATTATATTTTGAAACACTCTTACTCTGTATAAAAACAATTTCAAATCAATCGACATAATAGTATTTCGCAATAATATAAATGCATTTTATATTCCCATAGCGTTTGTATTGAATAATATTAAAGTAAAACAAACTTTTTGTATTTCTCTAACAAATGATATTTCTCACAAAAATATTTATTTTAATAAATTCTTCGTTTTGTCTATTTTTAAGACAAACACAATTCACTGAAGTGTTTCTCATTTTATGTTTTAGTTTTTAAAAAATGAATGAAAGTGTTGGTGTAAAACTTTTTTTAAAAGTTTTGTATTACATATCGTATGTTTGCGAAACAGACTATTTTCCCCTTAAGTACAAATGGTGTTCAATTGTATTGTTTTTTATAATAACCTTTTCTGTTGTTGTTTTTGTCGATGATTTGTTACCAAAAGTGTGTGAATAAAACATACGGTCCTATTGGGTGTCAGTCCTCCTGTCCATCGATCAATACAAATGTTCCGTTGTTTTTGCAATCATTGATAAGATTTGTTGCGTTTTTTGCAATACTCTCGCAATTCATTGAAAAACTCTTAATTCCGGTGAGAAATGTCTGATCAGATAAGTAATGAGATAAACAGTTAAATGCTATCATTTAGAGGCGTTTGTGTTGTATTTTTGCCTCAATTAAGACATCCATTGGTTTTCCTAAATGTGTTTCGGATATAATTTTAGATCAATATATCACATCTAATCTACTATTTGTTGTTTTATAAAATAATGTATTTCCAGAGATTAATTCATAATTAAAAGTTTCGTTTACTTAAAAATAAGTTTTCAATAAAAATGAGTATGTGTCTATATTATGTTAATATATTATAGGAATTAATTATATTAAAGACATTTCTTTACTCTTTTGAATCACTGACAGAATCGGTAGACTCTTGTTTGTCTTGTTTTTGTAAGTCTCTCTCCCTTTCCTGTTTGATATCATTCTCGAGGGCCTGTGGAGTCACAAACTCGACCGGTATTTGTCTCTCAATCCATGGATACTGAGCTATAGTTTCGGCCAAAGTGTTGATCTCTTTGGGAATGCCATTACCGCACAGTCTCTTACAAAACTCATCGGAAAAGTGGTTACAATTCTTTTGAATAAGATTATAGTCCTTTCCCTTGAATCCTTTGCGACCCATTTCAGTGACAATTTGTTGCACCTTCTCTTCGCTCAGTTCTGTATATCCGATAGCTTTTGACTCTTTGTATTTGAAAACATTATTAACACTCAGGGATTCAATATCTTTCGGAGTCGTTATGAATATTCCGCTCAAATCATAGGGATGTCCGCCGAATGAATATTCTTTACCATAGACTTCTGTGCCCGTATGATAGACACCCATGTCTTGTGACAATAGATTTATCCATTCGTTAATTCGTGACAAATCGTAGACATGAAGAATCACTTCATGTTTCTGTTCTGCCATTTGATGATAAACTTTGTTTAAATGTGTATTAATTTGCATTATTTTTAACGGTTTTAATTCAATATTTAAATGGTAATTATGCCATGAGTTTAACAATATAAGTTGATAATGATATTCAATAACATTATTTAATTAATCAATGATTAATAATCATTGTGTTTAGCCAACACATATGCTTGACATTAGAAATGACTTTTTCTTATTATTACAATTGTATTCATTTGTCAAATGGTTTGAATTAACATTAAGTGCCACTGAATTAGCTTTCAATTGATACTTACATTTTATTACAAACAGCTTTTGTATCGCAAACTTTGAAATTTTATTGACGATAACTGTGCAGACATTTGATATCATAACCACTGAGAATCCAAACCAAAGACTAATTAAACTTCCGATGAATATGAGAAACTCATGAAAATTCATTTTAGGCGCGTGTTTGCTGAGTAGGGCCGGTATTCTCGGTGGAAATATAGACACTATAAACCTCTTGGTTTCGTTAAAGTACTTGTTTGTCCCAAACTTAATGTACT